AAAAAAAAAAAAAAAAAAAAAAAAAAAAAAAAAAAAAAAAAAAAAAAAAATCTCCCATTTCATATACACGAAATAATATTTCTTGCTCATACACACATGCTTTCATATTTCACAAAACTGTACCTTTTCACCTGTGTCACCTTTGGGGCCATTCTCTCCAGCATCTCCCTGTCAAGAGAAAAAAGCAATGAATGTAAAATATATTGGTGACATTAAGGAAAGAGTATTTTTCATTATTTTAAGTTTCTTTCATAAACACTATACATTAAAATCTGTTGCAAATGTTCTACAGAGTTAATATACTTTTACTTGACCAGATGCCTGATATCAACAAAATAAATTTTATTACAATGAACATGGTGATACCAATAAAATAAATTTTATTACGATGAATATGGTGATATCAATAAACTAAATTTTGTTACAATGAACACAGCTGAATAGTTTTAAACTACTCTATCATATTAACAGAAAGCAGCAATTTATCTGTCTGTCATTTTCTAATAGCTTATTCAGACACTTAAGCCTCCTAACTCTGGCTCTTTTCTCCTGTGCTCAGAGCTCCACTTATAACAAAGGTTTTCTCCTGACAATTCCCTCAGTATGCCATGTACCTTACCATCTCTGCATCCTTCATACCATTCCTGCCACCTGGACCTCTATCCTCTCTTTTCCTTTCTATCTGTGTAAACCCTACCCTGTCTTCAAGCTCATCTCAAATCTCCAGGGCCTCAAACTACATGACAAGGTCCTCAAGATCCGTGAGCTGAATATTTCTTTATCTGGGCCTACATGGTTTGCATTTGTGAAATGAATGCTTATATTTTATTAGAAAACTTTTGAATCACAAGAGAATGAATTTAACGAGTTTGCACATTCTTTGTTACTTTTTGAGACTTCCTACGCCTATTCCCTCGCTGACATCTCTTTTCTATCTACAAAGCAATGCGTTTTAAAGAAAAGCATTCATTTATTATCCATGCTTTGCTTCCCTAAATTCAGAATTCTTTAATTTCAGTCTTACAGCATATTGTAGTGGAAATGTCATGGACTTTGGAACCAGGGAAAACTGAGCCCCACTCCAGTCCTTACTGGGCAAATGAAATTCTCTTTGCAATAAGTTGCTCATGTGTAAAGTAAGAGCAAGAATACTTTATGGAATTATACAAAATAAGGAATATACTGTGTGTACAGCAACTAGGACAGTATCTGGCACATTACAAGCCATTAATGACAGCCGTTAGCAGTATCAAGGCATTATTGTTCAGATATTCCATAGGCTGGAATGCCCTTCTCTCTAGCTTTGCACGATGTCACTTTTCTATCATTTAAAAATTTCCTTAAAATAAGATAGAAACTATTAACAATGGTTTCTTGGGAGAGGAGAAAGAGAAGGTCGGGTCATTTTTTTTCTCTGTATTTTCTTTTATTGTTTCAAATAAGTGTGAAGTTAACCTGCCCAGGCATTTGTCTGTGGTAATGGAAATGCCACAGTGGGCCCTAAGAGCCTGAGCCACTTCATCTGATGAACCCTGGAATGGTGCTGGCACTGCTCCTTGTCCTTCTGTAATTTCTACACAAAAGAGTCATCTGAACACTAATTAATTTCGAGTTAATTACCATGACCTGGTTGGATGCCAAATAAATGTACTGATCATCTGCTATGAGGGACATTTGACAGACAGTTTATTTGCATGCTTTTTAAAAAACTGCTTGAAAATCCCTTTATTAAAAAACAAAACAAACAAAACAATCCTTCTTATTAGGAAAACTGGCTCAGAGTGGGTTGTGAAGTGAAGGGTTTGGATGAACTGTCCCCTCAGGAGATTGCCTTTTCTATCTTGCTCCTCTTCCATTTAAATAAGTGCCTTTTTCTTTTTGCTTTATGATGCTGATAAATACAGTTACCCTGAAGACTCTTTCTTGATGTTTAGGTGAACTACTTTTGGCATTAGAGGTTATAATATTGATTTGTCAGAAAGATCATATCCCTTCTGAAGAGCATCATGTGATATCTCGGTAGTTTCCTATTTAGACAGCACACTTCTGAGGCACTGTTAAAGTAAACAGCACGAGAACCAGGAAAATAAGAGCCACAATATGCACTCCGTCAAAAAATAATCAGGACAGGCCCCAAAGTAGTAAGGAAATGAGTTTAAGAGAAATTTAACATGCAGCAACCTGCTTCTTTTGTTCCTCTTTTTAGTTTTTATGGGAATTCTTTCTGGGGTAGCTTTCAGATAATTGCTGCAGGTAAACATCTGTACTCTTTTAACCTAGTGACATAAGAAGCAGTAGAGAGAGATGTGGATGCTTAGAAAAGTACTGGAATGGCATTAGCAAGTAGGGAGAACAGAGATTTTGCAGGCCTAGGGATTTTTGAAAGCCATTTAAAAGTTTGACATAGAATGCTTAAATGTGCTCCCTTTCTCTCCATTTCTTTAAACCTTTTTACTCAAACTTTTGTCCAGAATTATGCTATTTTCTCTTTTCACTAATTAAAAGTTTGGAAACAAACCAAAAAAAAAAAAAAACCAGTGGTCATTATATCTACCTATATCTATATCTATTTACCTATCATATCTATCTATCCATCCATCCATCCAGTTCAGTTTGGATACCTCTTTAGAGGACAAAAAGAGATACATACAGGCAGCATCATTCTCACCTTTTCTCCTTGTTCTCCAGGTTCTCCCTGAGAAAAAGAACAGAGACTGGGTGACGTTGCATCATAGAACACCTCACTAAGCAACATCGAACAAAATGATATTGAACATACCAGATAAATCATGTGTGACACTTTGTATTTTGGCTATACATAGTCTCTATATGAAAACAAATGGTAAGATGAATTTCCTAGAGAATGGGGTATGGCTATCAATATCAAGTATAAGCTTAACTCTGCTTTTACAGGACCAAATAAATGTATTTTAAGCTTGTCATCCAGAAACTGGCTTTGAGGGCACTAAGGAGAACAATGGTGTGATAATTCAATATCTTGAGAGGCTTTTTAGTCTATTACTTTTTATTCTGCCCAAATTCAGAATCAATAAAGTGGACTAGCTTGTCCTTCACCAACCCTCTTATTCAAAGCATCCCCTGGTGCATGGATTATTTCGGAGGTCTGGAGTCCAAGTGTAGTTCCCTAGTCCATCTTCCCCAAACACAATCATAAACACTCAGTCCTGAGTTTGGACCCCTTCACAATGTCATGAACTCTCTTTAAGTGCTGATAGTCAGCATGTTCCAGATCAGGCATATTTTAGGAGGCACTAGTACCTTCAGGAAAGACACCAGAAAGGACAGAGTTTAAGTCTGTTCAGTAGAAATGCCCTTACTCAAAATGATGACCAGGATAGCACGAGGATTAAAATGCAAAAGGATGCTCTGAAGAGAATTTCATTTTCATTTTTCCCAGGAAAGGATAGGAGATGGAGTGAGAAAATTCTAAAGTAAATCATATACATTATGATAATATTTCCCTATGAAAAGCTTGAGTGAGTGTTGCTATGAGATCAGACTGCTTTTTAAAAAAGATGGTATAAGGCAATTATTGTGGTTTACAAAAAAATGATAACTGACTCTGGAAGTCAGTTTGAAGGCAAGAATCTTTTTATCCCCTGGAACTCATCCTGACCCTTTGGCGTTATGAATTTCTGGACACCTTGACTGCATAACCATCCATCCTGATGGTTGCCAGGCAACACAAGAATAGCACTGTGAACATGCATTAAGCATTAAGTCCTATCATTTGGCTTTTTAGCATGGAGCAAGAAAGGGAAGAAGACAGGAAAATGGCTATAGTCCCAGAAGGAATATTTTCTTTCCTCTGCTGCCGGACAAAGGACAGGTCTATAAATTTTACATTTGTCCTAGGCGCCTGTCAATAGCAATGTGATCTGTAAAATCAGCTGACAGGCATCTGTGGGTATGGATACACACCCGCACAGCTGATGGGATTAAACATTAGTTTTGTACTTCAAGGGATGTTCCCTCATCAAAGGAGTTGGGATTTGTCTGCCTTTTTGGTTTAAACTAAACTGTCACCAATCTTCTTATATTTAACAGATTCTTTTGTTCTTCAAGAAACAAAGAAAACTTGCAATCCAAAAAAACCCAAAATCATTACATTTTTTCCCTATTTAGTAATTCAGACTACATCCATTTTTAAATTTTAAACATCTTTATTCTGCTTTTCATCTGACTAACTGGTTATGTTGTATCAGAGTTGAAGGTGGCAAAATCTTGAGCAAAAGCCAGAGTGGCACTCTGAACATCATCTTTAGTAAGGCTTGTAGATGTGCAAACTTTAGACATGACTTATGTTTTTATGTGCTCATTAAGTGGCAAAAAGACACTAGTACTATTTGAATCATGAGCTTTCTCATGTTACTTAAGTATCCTAGAATAAAGATTTTAGACAATTATATCCTATTTGTTTTTCTGTATTGTAAATGCTAATGAGATTCACAAATGTAATTTATTCATTAGTCACCAAGTTCTATGCTGTAGAACTTCTATACTATTGACAAAAAATTCCATCCAAGTGCAACCAGTGGGTTATAAAAAAATTGTAAGAGCTTGCAATTTCAGGAAATTCATGTGTCAAATGATTCTCATTAGCTTTATTTGTACTAACCTTTGGCCCTGGTATTCCATTCTGTCCCACTGTTCCAGGTAACCCAGGCTCACCCTCAAAATAAAAAATAAAAATTACTAAGTAAAATAGACAAAATGAATGCATTACATAGATCACTAGAGGAGATAACCCTCCAACTTGATAGTAAAAATAATTAGAATAGAACATTCAGATTTACAGCTCTCATTGTCATATTGAATAACAGGATTTGGGGGAAAAGATCATGGCTACTAGGATAGAAAATGTTCCCAACTTAGAAAGAGGATGATGTACGTATACCAGTCTTTCTAGTCTCTGAAACAGCTATTGTTTTCCAAAGAGGAAAGCCCCTTGAAGTGTCCAGAAGCAAAGGAAAGATACCCTGTCCCTTTATGCTTCCATGTAGCTCAAACTCACATCAACTGGAATTTTCATTCTCACTTAAAAACATTCCCAAAGCCCTTTACTATGTGCTTCAACTACTGGACAACTTTCTTCTTCCCACTGAAAGTAATAAAGTTGCTTCTTAATTTTTTAAAAATAGACTATTTTTAGAGCAGTTTTAGTTTCACCACAAACTAATTGATTTTTAAGAATGTTTTCTACATCACCTGGAGAGCAGGAATTGTGCCATTTTAATATTCGCATTCTCAGGGCTGGCCTGTAAGCTCGCTTGGGAGAGTGTGGTACTGAGAACAACAAGGTCAATGGTTCGGATCCCCATACTGGCCAGCCGTCAAAAATGAATAAACAAATAAGTTTGCATACTCACCTTCAAAAACATGTACGTTAACAATAATAATAATAACATTTCCTAAGTATCAGAATCTTTACATTTATTAACTCATTTAATTCTCACAAACCTCTATGAGGTAAGTACTATTTTTATCTCCATTTTAATAGGTGAAGAAACAAAGGCACAGATAAGTAATTTATCCAGATTTACACAGCTATAGTCAAGATTTGAACTCTGATGATCTGGCTTAAGAGGTTGTGCTCTTAACACTGTGTTACACTGATGAATGAATGAATGTATCTAGAAATTCGGGAAGAGTAGATGATGAATATTTCTATCTTCATTATCACTTGGTTTATACATCCCATTTATAAATAACCTTCCAGAATGTATAGAAACCTGAATTAAATATGTATCTTACATAAAGATGATTTACATATAACAGATACACTAAAAATTGTGAAACTCGTGGTGTCTTTCCAGAACAGCAAGAAGTGTTTTACTATTATACTGGATTAATATAATTGTTAAAGTCTTAACCTTCTGGAAGACATTCTGCTTCCTGTATAAAGTGATACTATAATTATAAGTCTTGCACTTTCCTTGGTAAAATGATAAAAATGTTGACCCAGAATAATGATGCCATTATGGGAAAATTTTGATATGCCATTTGTACATAACAAAAGATGAGAACTTGGAAATAAAATACATCCTGAAAGAGGACTATCATTTACTGTGCAACCAGAAAAAGAGCTATTGAGTCTGCTTCTTCAAAGAATCCACAACAGGATGTGCTAATATCATAACTCATGGTTTAATGCAAATAAGAGATGCTGCCAGGGAACAATACAAACTCTGTTTAGGCTTTCAAAGAATAACCATGGTAGCCAGAGTTATTTTTTAAAAAATGGTTAAGCCCCTGGAACCGGACAAAATTCATGCTGAGATTTTGAAGCAAGGAAGAGAAACGTTGCTTAGTTATCTGCATAACATTCTCCTTAATATATGAACATCGAGGGACTAAAATTGATCCCTTTTTTCTTTGACTATACATACTGTTAAAATCATCTTTAACATAAAAGGCAACCAGAAACTTGCACCTGTAATTCCATCACTCTGAAATAATTGTCTTCATTTTGTCCTGTTTCTTTCTAGTCTTTTTTATTTAGGCTTACATATTTTCAAGCTATTGTAAGCATATTACATAGTTTGATGTTCTGATTTTTTTTATCTTTTTACCACACATTTATTTTCATACAGTATTCATAATTGTTTTGTGAATAGTTTGGTTATCATTTATTAAAGTCAGGTGTGATCATTCGTTTAATCAGTTCCCTATTGTTGAATACCCAGGTTGCTTCCAATTTTTGCTATTAAAAACAAACTAAAATAATTCTGCAAATATACTCATATTTTTCTGTCAAGTTATTTAATTATGATAAATTCCCTGGACTTGTTTTACTAGTCAATGGAAACATTGTATGGCTCTAACTACATATTTCTAAATTGGTTTTTCAAAGAGCTCTGGGTTTTATTTGCTTTTATAGGCATCAGCTCTGTGTTACTTTTTCACAACTTCATCAGCATTGGAAATCACAATCGCAATTATTTTTGTGGCTATTTCAATAAGCACAAATGAGAGCCTTCTGTCATTCAATTTTATATTTCTTTTTCACTTGTAAGGTTAAATATTTTTTTGTGTTTATATTTTAAATAGATATTCACAAAATTTTAAAGCTGAAAAGTGAATAAAGCTGTTTCCTGAACGAATCAAGGAAGGGTGAAAAGAAGGAAAAATGACTCGCAGCATTTTTACCTTTCTAATAAGTTATATCAAGAAAAATATTTTCAAATTTAGATTAGGGGGCTATGGAGCATTCTGTTATTGTCCAAACCTAGTTTTCCAGGTTGTATGAAAGGAATGTTAAAGATAAAATGCTTTTATTTTTAACATAAAATACTGTACAACTCTGTGTACCAAAGCCAAGGTATGGAATCTGTAAAGCATTAATTCATTCAACTAACATTTGGTGAAAATTTATCGTATGATTTACTCTGGGTTGAGTGTTTCATGGGATAGACATAAAGATGAAATAGACATGACAGGTGTCTGTGCTCAAAGAGCTTATTTTTGAGTGGGGAAGAAAAGATCTATACATAATAAGGATGCATCTAATTGAGTTCATAGAACTTTTTTTTTTTTTTTGAGAAAAGTTTTCTTGCATTTCATGAAGTAAAGAGGAATAAGCAGAAGTTAGAGAAGTCTTAACGAGGAATGAACCATATGTCATACAGTATATTAATATATTTCAATACATGAGGACAAAAATTATCATGAGGCCTCTTCAAATAAAGTTACAATGATATTATACTACAACATAACAGTAAAAGTGTACACATTACAGAAAAATACATCAGAAAGGTACAAAGAAATGGGAATTAGGGTGTGTGTGTGTGTGGGTGGGTGGGTGGGTGTGGGTGTGTGGAGGGGGGAGCTAGTCTTACGTCTGTTGGATAATCTACCCATCTATTTCTGAATTCATTTCCTATTTACAAACACTGAAGATGTTCTATAGATGGTAATAAAGAAAACAAGCATCTAACATCTTAACTACCGGTGGATTGATGGGGCTTTCTCTACTATACTTTACATTTTAAGGCTATTCCCAGCATATTACTCCCAAATGGCCATTTCCATATTTAAGCTGAAAATAGTTGGACTGACTTTTAAGAAGGATGGCTTGCTACTTTCAATTTTTAAAGCCAAATACTCTTTAGAATTCTAATGCAAAACATCACACAAGATTATTATAACTATTTCAGGTATTGCTGTTCAAGGACAACTTGAAAAAGTACTTAAAGATAGAAAGGAATGCAGTTTTCTTATGAAGATCGAGCGCTAAAGGGAAATAGGTCATTACTGTCTGCCACCACTTCAATCGCAATAGTTTTCCATTCAGACAATGGGGATTTAAAATGAGTCGTAGCTTTAGATTTTTAGCATAACAAAAGTTTACATTCATCTTGTCAAAAGAGATGTATTTCTTTTCAGTACGTGATTTCAGAAAGAACTCATCCAAACAGAAGAGGAAAATAACTTCAGGGAACATGGACCAGCACTGCACAGAGACAGTGATGTTGGGCAGAACATAGCATCAGCCTTAAGGTTGTTCTCCCACCTCTGAAGTTGGCGAGTGTGTGTGTGTGTGTGTGTGTGTGTGTGTGTGTGTGTGTGTGTGTGTGTGTGTGATTCTTAGTGCAGAGAGAGGTCTCAGTGGCTGAGTGGTGAGCAGGAACTGCCTTCAGTCATTCTCTCCTTCTGCAGGCAGTCATGGGGGGGGCGGTAGGGGTGGCCCTTTCCAGGGGCTTTGATAGCAACCGGGTAAATAACATTTGGTAGAGGAGGATTCTTTGAATGCATTGAGGTACCCAACAGAGACTTCCAGATATACCCGTTCAGGGCAGAGTCAGGAAAATGGTATTTCTGGTCTCCACTCATATTTATTCATTCTTCCCATTCTTCGTCTATTTATTTATTTAATTTAGTTTAGTTTTTTTACTCCAGTCCCCCTAATGGCAGATGGGTATGAACATGAACTTGGGTGAAGATAAAAGGTAAAAAGTGGCCAAAATATTTTACCTTATACAAATGTAGCACTTTACCACACAGAATATAAAATAAGAATCCTACCCCCAAACTTCAAGTGTCATTAACACTCCAGGTAAATTCTTTGTCTTTCTATACTCCTGTACACTTCTGGGAACTCCCAAGGATACATGCGCTCAGATTAAGAAGTTTAACTCTAGGGAGATCCAGTTTAAACTAGTAATACTATGGTTCAGCTCCACTATTCTTTTAGTAAGTTTGCATGGGCCAGCCAGGTGAACTATTCATCTTTGGTAATAGTTTTTCTATACATTTAATTGACATATACTTGAAACCTAAATCAAAACTCATTTGTATATTGGTGCTATACGGCATTCAATAAGAAGCAAATATTCTTTGGGGACAATACAGCTAAAACAAACACATTTAGATTTGTACAACCCATTCTAAATAGCACAAAGCAAAAGAACAGGTTGGAATTAAAAACCAGAAACTGAGCCACACAGCCATATTGAAGTTAGAATAATCCATATTAGATTGGTACACGAACAAAGAAATTGAATAACCATAAAATCGGTAATTTACTTGTGGTTGGGTAGTTGCATCATTTTAAAGATGTGTAGCACCAATGCATTTTGAAGCTAAGCAGAAAAATGTTGTCAATTCCCCATTATTTGATCCAGTTTGCTTCCTAAACAACTCTTCTACTCCTCTTTCAGTCTAGAACCGCTG